AAAAAAAAAAAAAAAAAAAAAAAAAGATGGTTATTACTATAATTTGTACATAATGAATAAGACAGTACATAAAGGGTTCAAATATCCAGGAACTGGTTATACAAGTAAAATATAATCTGATAATAAAACATAATGTAGATACTAAAAAATGGGTTTTCAAACCCACCTTTAAAAAAAGATACCACAGTACATAGAATTACTTACTCATCATCTGGAGTGAGCTGGACAGGTTCATTAGTAAACTGAGAATCAAAGTTGTCCAAACCGAATTCTCCAGAAATATTTGGCTTAAAGGGAGGAACCACCTGCTTTTGCTCCATCTGAAAAAGAAGTATTATGGCAGCTCAAGTTTGCATTCTTAGAGAAATTCCATCTCTACTTTTCTCCTCTGCCCTCAAATATTTCGCTAGGCATAATTCCACACAGTAGAAATAGTATTAACAATGATGGATATAATCTATGAATCTGACTGTGGAAATGGGCCTCAAAAATATTAAAACCTGCTTTGCTACATTAATATTTTAATACTTTTGTTTTTAAAAAAATTGTAAAGCACTTTAGAAAGTTTTCAGTTATTTAAGCTGTGATTCACTAGTATTTCAACACTTTTAAGATAATAAAATTTGGCCTGAGGTAACAATAAAACCTAACATAGAAAACAATCAAAATTCACATACCATATCCCAATCAACATTTCGAAAGAATGGATGCCCCTGAATATCAGCAAATCCTGTTTGAGGATGACAACCCAATCGTTCCTTTGGGTCCTATGGTGGAAAAAAATGTTTCAAGGACTGGGTAAATGCCATGCTTTCAAATAATTTACCTTCCTGGCCTGTGTTTCTTGCCTATTACATGGTATCTTTATTTCTGAAGCTGAAATGGTCTTTTACTTCTAGGAAGTGAGTTATCTGAAGCTTGTGACAGTTAAGAATTCCTCATGGATTCTTTTCCACTATGTCACTGTAGCAGAGAACTGCTACCAGTCCCTGCTGAAGAAAAACGGGAAGTAAAAAAACAGCAGCATCGTTTTAGTAGTACCCAGCTGTTTCTCTGTATAGGCTTGTGTCAAAATATGGAAACCTCCAAATTCCACAAGTTTGTTCTCAACCCAGTTTTAAAGCCTGATGCTCAACTAAACCAATAAAATACACTCTGTGTAAGACAATGATACCACCACTATCTGAATCACTGGAGTGAGGTGAAGCCTGCAACTTATCAAGTCCTTGCTTATTCCTCTTTGAATAACAAGTTCCCATTTTTCGTTCTGATAAAAGGCATTTTATTCTGTGTATTAGTACTTCTTGCCTTCATTTTGCATTGTAGTTAAGATTAGCTTTCAAGTTTAAATCTTTCCTCACATAACGTATTCATTTTTTAAAAGATTTTTTTACAACAGCATACAGCATTTCTTCTGAATTTTACCCAATTAAAGTGGTATCTTGATTCATAAATGCTTTTGTTTGCAAACAATTTGGTTCACAAACAGAAGCATTTGACAAAATTTTGTTTTTCTTTGCATATTCTGCATAGAGTAACAGATACAACCATGGCCATCTTTCCCACACAAACACAAATCTGGCCATCTTTTCAAAAGTCATAGAAGAAATTAAGTTTGTGATATGAAAATTTGTAGTGAACACTTCTTTCCATAGCTTAAAAAATATATGGTGATGAACTGATTTTATGCATAAGGATACAGAGAAAATGGAAAAACAGAGTTGAAAGTGCAATTGAGGCTAGCCCCAAAGATTCAGTTTTTCCTTCACTGAGAATATGGTAGAAATATCATTTGCATTAAAAACATCATATATAACATAGCTTGGGGAAAATCATACTGTCAAACTAGGAAGGACCATTTATCTCAAAAGCTAGTGTTATCCCTTGGTTAAGAGATAATTTCCAGACCTAACTGAAAAAGTTATGCTGCCAGTCTGGAATTTTAGCTTGCCTGAGCTTCTACTTACCAGTTTAATTTACACAGAGCTAAACCACAAAAGATGTTTATACATAATTTATACCTTGTTGAGAAAACTCTTCAGGACACTTGCAGCTTTTACAGACAGAGAACGTGGTATGCGAATCTGTTTTTCCAAAATAACTAGAAAGATAAAGATTATGGTATTATGTTTAACTTGTACATGACTTTAATCTTTAGATTTTTGTTCATTTTTTAAGACTTTCCAGCAGAAAAAAATAAGACATTACAGTAAGTCCCCAACATACAAATGAGTTTCATACTAAAAGAATGTTCATAAGTTGGATTTGTTCATATCTGACAAAATGAGTCTTAGCACACTTTTGAATCTTATAACCTGTGAAACTTCACAACTCAAATATTCATAAGTTGGGGACTTATTATACACACATAATTAAAAACAGTTCACATACTTCCCCAATCCCATACCCCTCTTTCCTTTTGAGAGGTACCTCTAAACTGAATACTGTACTTCTAATTCAAGAGCATGGAGGGCAGGTTCTGGGGATTGAACCCAGAGGCACATTACCACTGGTGTACACACTCAATACTTTTAAAATGCTTAAACGGGATGTCACTAAGTTGTCTGGGTGGGCCTCTAATTTATGATTCTCTTGCCTTCAGCCTCTCAGTGCTAGGATTTTAGGTGAACACCACCATGCCTGGCTTACATGCATGTTTTATTCTTTGACTACATTACTGTACTTTAGTTTAAAAAATAGGAATAAAGATAATACCTACTTCAAAGGGTTCTTATGAGGTTTAAAGGCATTACTATTTGTAAGATGCTTATATATACAGCATAACATTCAATTTTACTGGACAAGGCCAAGTTATTCTCCAAAGCTACTGTGTTAATTTTCACTCCCAAGGGCAGTCTAGGAGAGTTCCAGGTACTCCAGACCTTCACCAGCACTGTTCATCACTTTAATTTTGCCAAATGTATGGGTATAGTAGTACATTCATATTTTAATGTGCAGTCTCCCAACTGCTAATGAATGTGAATGTCTTCTTACATACTCTAAGGTCAGCTGGGTTTTCCGTCATATGGATATCTATCTACTTTTATCCCGTGATGGCTTTAATTACTAAATGCAGGATTTTATGGCAGTCTTTACATTTCCTTGGATTGTGTTAGAAGGTGCTTATCTGCTCTTGTTTCTGGTTCTGTTCAATTTTTAGTATTCTCCATTGTGTGCCCCCTAATCCATTTTAACTTAACATTCACTTTTACCCCAAAACTATTCTTGAACTTTCACACTCAGCCTTGGGGATCTTAATGTAAAGACTGTCCTCTCTAGCTGTAGGATTCTCCTCTCCAATATCTGTTTATGATACTTAATCTAAAGGAACTTCTTTTTACACCTTTGAGTATAGGAAGGTAACAGTTAATGGGGGAGGAGACTATAGAGGTATAAAGGATATATCAGTAAAAAAAAAAATCAGGCTGGGAATGTGGGTCAATGGTATAGCACTTGACCAGCATGTTGCAAAAGGCCTTTGGTTCAACCCCCAATATCACATAATAATAATAATAAACCCCTCAAAATATCACACATTAAATTGAGAATATACTGTTGAGATAATTTTTCTTTTGCTTTCTTTTTTTTTTATACTGGAGATAGAGCTCTGGACCTTGCACTTGCAAGACAGGCGGTGGCACCACTGAGCTAAATTCTTGGCCTGAGATTATTTTTCTTATTCAAAGTAATACTCTGAGCCACCCTCATTTATGGTGTAGAAGAAATTAAGAGATTCTCTGTGAAAAACTGTAAGTTACCTTGGAAGAGATAATCCTCTGTGTTTTGATCAGGGTTATCAGAGCTCCCGACAATATCAAATGGAGACCTTCCTGCCATCATCTCAAACATTAGTACTCCCAGGGCCCACCAATCGACACTGAAACCTTCAGAAAGAAAGTTTACAGCAGCAAATTATCCACTCAACATGCTGGGAAGTCAATAATTACAGAATCATTTTACCACATAATGAAAAACTAAACAAGAAAGTAAACTTGCAATGTGTTATAACTATCACTGTAGGTACTGAAAATTACAGAAATAATAAAAAGGTAGGTACCTAATATCAACAAAGGTAGGTACCTAAAAGATGTTAGAGTATAAAATTATGGGAAATGAAACGTTTCTTTTTCCAAATATACCTATGACTTCAGACTCATGCTCAGTATCTTAGTATTTTCTTTCTAGCACCTAATTACATTGTATTTGAGAATGAGCTCTTTTGATCTTTTGCTAGCTGATTAAAGACTCCTGAATGAAGAACCTTGAACTTATATTGTGTGTAGCTGTCAGAAGTACCATATCCTCCTTTATCAGCGGAAATTAAAGGTCTAGAACCCAAAGAATCAAATGCTTCCCCTTCTTCCCTCGTATCAGGAATCGAACTCAGGACCTTGCACTTGCCAGATAAGTGTGGCGCCACTGAGCTACATCCCTGGCCCTTCAAATGCTTTCTTAAAATAAAATATTCTCTGGTATCTGACAAGTAGCAAATGTTTCCACTGTCTTTCAGATTCTTGGGGAAATATTATTAGAAATCTGAACCACCTTCCAGAGGCGCAAGACTGGAGTTGCATGGTAGCTGGCCCAAATTCCTTCTCTACTGCTTTACAGCTGTTATGACCTTGGGCAGGTTATTTAAACTTCCTGCATGTCAGTGTCTTCCACTGTAAGATGGGAATTTGAGAGGTTACTAAGAGTATTAACTCAGTTAATATAATATAAACTACTTAGAATAGTGCCTACCATTCCACAAATACACTATTATTCAAATTTGTACCCTAAATACTAACAAGAGTCTACTGTCTCTGATTTCAGACCTTAGGGGTTTTCACACAAGATCTTTAACAGGATTGATCAAGAAAACTTATATTAATAAGATCAGTATTAAAATACTACAGGAAATGCAATTGATACCACATTTAACCAACCAGCTAGCAATAGCAAAAATATCACCTATTTATTTATTACCATAATCTTCTCCTCTTAAAATTTCAGGAGCAATGTAATTAGGAGTACCACAGAAAGTGCTGGTCGTATCTCCTGGGCGTAATCCTTCCTTTTATTAAAACAGAAAGAAAGAAAAAGATCTAAAGTTGTTTTTACATTTACCTTTTCTCTTTCATTTATCAAATAAATTCTCCAAATGTAGGTAATACATTAAACTTAAACATATCACTAGGACAACTGCATTATTAAAACACTAATAATAGATTAATAGCTAGACCTTGAAAATAGCATATATGTCCAACAGATAAGGAAAATGTGCTCTTTCTATATTGTGTAGAAAGATAAACTTGAGGCATTTGTAGGTAAATAGATGCAACTTGAGAATATAATGTTAAGTAAAATAAGTCAGACAGAAGTTTAATAGCAAATGGTTTCTCTTATATGAGAAACACAAAGAACAAAATAGAAGAGAGATAAATAGGAAACAGAGAGAAGTTCAAATACTTCCCCAAATTATAAATTCCATTCTTTTAAAAATGTTTCAATATATATGCTAATTGGTTTCATTTATACTATCACTTTATCTTAGTTTACTGAAAAAAAATGTTATTATGTTTCTTTTTTTGTAATAATCTTTTGGTTTATGTCTTATACTGAGTAACTATTTTGAAAACAGTAATACACAGTGTAATAACTATTGTTATTATGATTTGATTATGAAATATTTTTATTTTTTCATTAAAAAACAACTAAAAAGATTCCTCACCTTACACATGCCATAGTCAGTGAGTTTAATATGCCCTTCTGAGTCCAGTAATACATTGTCCAATTTCAAATCTCTATAAATTATCCCTCGCTCGTGAAGATAATTTAATGCTAAACTGATTTCTGCAGAGTAAAACCTAAAATAAAATTTAAAATAAATCATGTTTAAAAAGTCATGTGATTCAAAATTATAAATTGTGGTGTTTTTTCTAGAAGATATTTCAGACTTATTCCGACCTACATTTGGAAGCATAAAAATCACAACAGAAGTTTTTTTTTTTTTTTTTAATCTTCCAATGTAACAAAAAATCTTATAGGAATACCACTTTAAAATATCTGAGTCCAAATCAGTTATACAAGTTCCAGTTTAACTTAAACTCATATTTTTCAAAAAGCTATCAATCTGAAAATGTCAAACCAGAGTTCTTAGTCTGGGTCCTTGATGAATTTCTGGCAATCCATAAATGCAAACTGGAGGCAAAGCTGTACATTTTCTAGAGAGTTCCCATAGCTTTCATCATTTCTCTAAGGGACCAATAATGTACCCCCCCAAAAAAACAAACTAAGAACTAGTAAACTAAGAACTATTAAAAATTGACTACTCAAACCATAAAATCCACACCAAAATTTCAGAAACTTTTCTACAACCAAAAAATTCTAAATTAAAGAATAAATTTTCTAAAATTACCACCAACTGACTGGTGAAAAACTTTTGGCCTGAATAATAAAAATGAAAACATCTGCTTTGGTGGCAACAGGATCATGTAAAGTTTGGAGGTACACAACATACACCTCTGGCCACTAGTTCTACGATTAGAGGGAAGTTAAGTGCTTCTTTTGTGCATCAGCGCCTAGAAAAGCAAATATGGTATACAACCAGAATTGGTACTTTAATAAGACTAAAAATCAGATGTAGTTTCCCCAAGTCAGGCCGAACAAAGAAGGAACAAATGCTGGCTATGTTCACAATTTAAAATATCTGTGCCTCTGCTGTGAAGGATGACAATTTGATAGCCAAAATAGCAATGAACAAAAACAGTAAATTATATCTCTAAAATTATAATTTATCATGCAAATTTACTTTTAGCTCAGCTCCTCATATCTTACAAATAATTAACTAGTATCAAAATATTTATATACTATTTTTCCACTGCTGCACACAGAAAGTCATATGGTCCCCCCCAAAAAAAATCCAACAGAAACAATATTTAAAAAAGGTACCTGCGGGCTGGGATTTGGCTCCATGGTTCCGACACCTGCCTCACAAGTGCAAGGACCCGAGTTCGATCCCCAGTACCAAAAGAAAAAAAAAAAAAAAAAAAAACGGTACCTGGCATGTTCTTCAGGAAGTTTTCTTTGTCGCTGCATATGAAACATTAGATCTCCTCCATTTACATACTCAATAACAAAGAACAATCTAAAATACAAGAGAGAACTCATAAAACCAAAATTCTAAATAAGGCAATGTAACTTTACATCTTAAAACACTGCAGAACATACAGAGCATCTTTATGGCTTAGCCTTAATAAGACACTGAAAATTTGATGGAAACAAAAGGATATCCATAGTACTGAAAGAAAAAAAATCCTTCTGTAACTTTCTATTTCTAAAGTATTACAACCCAGAGCCACTGACTCTCATCACAATTTTTAACATATGCATGATAAGTAATTTTCAACTACTATATTATTTACAGTAAAGAAATTGGGATTTCCCCTCTCTAGTTAAACTCTAGATAACAGTAACTTATAAAACTAGAATCATGGGAATAATTAACCAGTGGTTATTCTACTGCCATAATTAACTCACTTTTCCTTTTTTCCTTCCTTCTTCTTTTTCTTTCCATCCTTTGCTTCTTTTCCTTTCCATCCCTCCCTCCCTTTTTCTCCCTAAAACAGGTCAATTCCTAATACTATACCAATGTCAAACTGTAGTTGAGTAGCAGAAAGTTAAAGCACACTACCACTGTGTCCTTTTCTGTGACTTCTATTTCATCTATTACAGCAGACAGATTCTTATTGTGAAATACATCAAAATGTATGAAGCTGATTAATCATCCCATTATCTTTCAATCTTACCTGCTTTCTGTCTGAAAGCAAGAATGCAGTCCAACAAGAAAAGGATGATTAGATGCCTGCTCAAAAACATGCTTCTCTGTCTGTACCCAATCAATGTCCTATTTTAAAATATGAAAGAAATCTACGTCAAACAGAAACAAACAAAATCGTCAAAACTAACAATAAATTTGTTCTAAGCAACTAGATGATCACAAATGCACTTATTAACCAGGCTAAATACAAAGACCAGCAACAATCATAAACAAAAATACTAAAAGAGAAGTATTACTTTATCTTCCAGAACTATAAGATGGTTTGGAAAACTTTTAAAAAACTCAAGAGCTTCCCCTGCTAAGTTTGATTTGCATTATTTAAAAACTGAATCATATCCAGAATAAGTAAGTATCTCTTACATAATCTGTTTGAAGCATTTATTTAGAAAAGTAGAGTAAGACCATAAATAAAGCAAAAACACTGAGGGTTCCTTTGAATTAGTACTCTTAAGCAGTTCAACAATTTAGAAGTACAAAAATTTTAGTCTGCTTACCTCATCATCATTAACTAGCTCTTTTTTCACAACTTTCATTGCATAAATACGATCTGTTTTTTTTAATCGAACCAACAGGACTTTGGCATAACTTCCTCGTCCTATTACTCGAAGCAAATCAAAGTCTTGAAGACCTAAACTGGATGAAGCTTTGCCACTTTCCCTGGTGTTCATTGCCTGTTGAGAACATTTACAGCAAAGAGTCATATCAGGAAGTATTGGAATAGTACCTTATATTTCTAAAACCCTGTTTGACACAAGACTTAAAAATATTTTCTTGGGCTGGGGATTTAGCTCAGTGGTTCCACCATCTGCCTCACAAGCATAAGGTCCCAAGTTCAATCCCTGGAACCAAAAAAAAAAAATCTTTTTCTTAATGTAAATATTTTAGACAGGCATGGTGGGGCATGCTTGTTAATCCTCGCATTCAGGAATCTGAGGCAAAGGATTGTGAGTTTGAGGCCAGCTGATGCTACACAGAGTTGAAGATCAGCCTGAGCTAGAAGCTCATAAATATTTTCTTATATTATTCCAACCCACACATTATGTGCAAAAAGTAGGATGAATTCATGAGTTAAAAGAAGTGTTTTAAAAACGTGTTAGTAGGAATAGACAGGGAGTTAAAAATCGAAAAAAAAAAAAGTTAGAAAATGTCTTAAGAAAGACCTGGTAAATTTGGATATGGGGGCAACAGACACACGTGAATAAAACGTGTCATTAACTTTTGTGACTGGGAGACTGAGGTATTGCTGAGGGGAAAAATAAAGTATGTGGATAAGGTAAGACAAAGTCGTTGGTGATAACAGAAAATTAGCAGTTAAAATGCATATCAAGAAGAAGAGTCTGCTACCATAGAAGACTGATATGAGAGATTTCAGCTGGTGAGAGGACATTTTTTTGATGATATACTATGCAGTTCAGCTAATGGAAGTTGTTCTTTTCCACACTTTAGCACTAGATGACAAAGGAGGCAAAGTAAGCTTTATAAATTCATTGACAACTAGGAATGTAAGCTTCTGCTAATTTATAGGGAAGACTGAAGACAATTTTTATTAGGTATTTGCAAAATCACTAGCACATGACCAACAAATGTACCCATAAGAGTAAAATTTCTATTAAAGTAAAGGCTATCAGAAAAAACAAAGAGCAACCAAGCATGATGGTGTGTTTTTGTAATACCAGTTACTTGGGAGGCTAAAGCAGGAGAGTTGAGGAGCCTAGGAGGTTAAGACCAGCCTGGGTAACACAGCAAGACCCTATCTCAACAATGAAAATTAAAAAAAAAAAGAAAAGAGAAAAGAAAGGGAGGAGAGGAGAAAACAAGGGGAGGGGAAAGAGGGAAGAGAGGGAAGAAAGAAGGAAACAAAAGAGCACTTTTCAAAAGAATGATTATACATGAAAACTAGAACTAATCACTTGATTTAATAATAAGATCAAAAAAATAAACCAGATCAAACAAGATCAGGGTATGTTAAAAAAAAAGGAGAATGCTCTGGACAACACATGTTGACTTCGATCCCCTAGTTGCTGCTGCTCTGCATGGTGTAAATAGAATGGATCTCAGTCTTTGCCTGGGGTGTGTCCAATACGGGTCAGTCAAACCCTTGAGCTCAGTATGGTGAAGATGTTATCACTATGTACAACACAGAACTAGCTGAATTAACTATGTGATGTTCAATATTACTAATAAATTTTAAGTTGTTTCAAACTAAAAAAAAAAAAAAGAGAGAGAATGGTGGGCAGGGGATTTACTTTAGTGGTTCCACCACCTGCCTTGCAAGTGTAAGGTCCCAAGTTTGATCCCCAGTAAACAATTAAAAAAAAAGAGGAGAAGGGTAAGAAAATAGTGTATGCACTTTAAAAATCGTTAAGTAGAGGCTATGAAAATGAATAAAGAAACAAGAAGTACTGTATTTTCTAGATAGAATAATGAAAGACTAAATGAAAACAGAAACCCTCTATTTGTGGAATGTCACCAATAAAATGACCTAGCATTCTACATCCCATGAAATTAATTCTCAAAATGAAATTTTCAGACACACAAAAACTGAAAAAATCATCACTAGTGGGTTCTCACTAAAGGAAATGCTAAATTGAGTACTTTAAGAACAAAATAATGTCAGCTGGGCGTGGTGGCGCATGCCTGTAATGCCAGCACTCGGGAGGCTGAGGCAGGAGGATCGCTGTAAATTTGAGACCAGCCTGGGCTACATAGTGAGTTCCAGGTCAGTCTCAACTACATAGTGAGACCCTGTCTCAAAAAAACAAAACAAAACAAAACAAAAAAAAGCCCACACAAAAACAAAAGAACAAAATAATGTCACATGGAAAGACAGATGCAAAGAATGAATGAAGAATAAAAAGGGTGAAGTCTGAGTAAATACAAATAAGGGTCAATCGTTTAAAAATGCTAACACACACAGAGAGCATTTTAAAATAAGACAAAAATAGCACCAAAGGCAGGAATGAGTTTAATGTGTGCTGTATTTTCTAGATGTGGCACTATATTTTCTAGAAAATGATAGCAGTGCTATTAACAATTTGTACTAAATTTTAGCAAGTCAAGAATGCAAAGTATAATCTGTATACAAACCAGTAAAAAAATGGTAAACAAGTTAAAAAACAATTATAAAAATTATGGTAAATTACCACCACACATTAAATAGCTTGGCTAAAATTAAAGAGACTTATGTGGAGGACACAGTGCTCTCAATTACTGGTCAAAGCATAAATTGATACAAACAGAAACTTGCATTATCTACTAAAGTTGACTTTACATAAAACTCAGCAACTACTAGTTATACATTGTCTTGGTTACTTTCTTTGTTGCTGGGTCAAAATACCTGACACCCATAACTTAAGGAAAGAGAGGTTAATCTTGGCTCACAGTTTGCAGAGGTTCCAGTCTGGCTCTAAGGCAGGAGACATGGCAGAAGGGCATGGCTGAAGAGAAACAGCTCTCGGAATAGCAGCTAAGAAGCAGAGTGAGAGGAAGGAGGGAGATATACCTTTCCAGGCCACGCCCCTGAGACTCACCTCCTCCAATCAGGCTTCACCTCCCGATATCACATTTAGTTACAAAGCCACCAGTGGACTAATGCAATGGTAAGTATTCTTTCATAATCAATAACCTTCCAAAAGCCCCATCTATGGGCACACGAGGCTTTGGGGGAGACATCTAGATACAAATGTAACATTCCACCCTTAAGGCCGAGCGTGGTGGTGCACGCTGGTAATCCCACACTCCAGAGGCAGAGGAAGGAGGATCTCCACAAGTTTGAGGCCAGCTTGGGCTACATAGTGACCTTCAAGGCCAGTATGAAGTGTACAGTAAGACCCTGTCTCAAAAAAAAAAAAAAAAAAAATTCCACCAAGCCTCATGTACTTCTCTATACAAAATTTAGTTCATCACTAAGAGTGGCCCGAGTCCTAACAATTTCAGTACTACTGAAAAGTCAAACTCCAAAGTTTCCTCTCAGGTTTAAGGAAAACTCTAAGCTCCAAGCCCCTGTGAGTTAAATACTCGAACATACAAGGACACAGGACAAACATTCCCATATCATAAGGTAGGGGCTGGAAAAGAATGCGACCACCAGATGTTGTGGCACACCCCCATAATCCCCTCAGCACTCAGGAGACTGAGGCAGGAGGATTACTCAGAGTATGAGGGCAGCCAGGGCCACACACTGAGATCAAGGCCAGCCTCAACTATAAAGTGAGACCTGTTTTTAAAAAGAAAAACAAACAAACAAACAAAACCCAAAACAACAAGAAAAAATTGAAAGAAAGGAATGGGTCCAGAGCAAGACCGAAATCCAGCAGGGCAAAGATTAAACCTTGTTCCATGGCCAGCACCTGGGGCAATCTGTGGCAAGATAGCAACTCCACAGGCTAGAACAGCCCTGCTCCTCCAGCATTGCCGATGGTGGTTGTAGCCCTCATGGGTTCAGTTGTGGGCTGGTTTGCTCACTCTTTGCAGCTTTTCTCAAATGGTCCTCATTCCTAGCTTTTCCAACATCTTGGGGTCTCCACTGCACTTTCTGTTTCTCTTTCAAAGCTTCACACACTAGCCGGGAGTGGTGGCGCATGCTTGTAATCCCGGCATTCAGGAGGCTGAGGCAGGAGGATCACTGTGAGTTCAAGACCAGCCTGAGCTACACATTGAGTTCCAGGTCAGTCTCAACTACATAGTGAGACCCTGTCTCAAAAAACCAAAAAAACGGGCTGGGGATTCAGCTCAGCGGTTCGGTGGCCTGCCTTGCAAGCGCAAGGACCTGAGTTCAATCCCCAGTACCAAAAAAAAAAGCAAAAACCAAACAAACAACAAAAAGCTTCACACACTGCCCTCTCAGGGGCTCACTGCCTGGCCTTCCAGGGTCTTCTGAAATTTGGGTGGAAGTCTCCCTGACACCACAACTCTTGCATCCTGTATATGCATAAAACAGATACTAGGTGATGCCAAGTTCTGCTGCCACTGGAGCAGTAGCCAGGCTTTCTTTGGGCCGTTGAGGTCTCTAAATGTGTAGATGGCTGTGGTACTATAACTCTAAGCCAAAGGAACAAATTCCCTAGGTGGCCATTGTGCCCTGAGGCTCTCTTCTCAAAATAAAGTCACCTTTGCAATTTTGGGCATGCAAAGGATAGAGCTTTGTGGGTTTCTCTTACTCCCTCAAGGCATTTTTTTTTTTCCTATTGTCCTGTATACCTGGTTTCTTTTTAGCAATCAAGTTCTCTGCTCCATCTTTGCAGGGCCTAACTTTATAGGTGCTTCCTTTCTAGCCAAACTTCAAACTTTTAAAATTATTCTTTTAGTCTCTTTTGTTCTTGATTCACAGCAGAGAGCTGGCTAAAAGTCACAGCCTGAGTGTTTATCTGCCTTGAATTTCCTCCACTGGATTAATTAGTCCACCACCCTTAATTTCAGTCTCCCATAAAGTCTCAGGTCATGAGCAAAATGCAAACAAATTTTCTAGCAGAGCACAACACACACGGCGGAGAGTTCAACTGTCAGTGGAGTTGTTCTTCCCAACTGTAACCTTTTGAGTTCGGTCTTTACCCAGTGGCATTACTGCCAACATTCCGGTCTTCTGAGTCTAACCAGAATCTCGCATCAAGCTTGGCTTACAGCATTCTGAAGAGTTGCTTCTCCAACCAGCATCTCCAAATCTTTCCAATCTCCTCCTACAAGGCAGTTCCAACAGCTTCTAAACTAAATGGTCAGATAGGTTCACAGCAACAACCCACTTTTCTGGCACCAAAATCTGCCTTACTTGCTTAGTTGCTGGGACAAAATAACTGGCACCCACAAATTAAGGAAAGGTCTATTTTGGCTAACAGTCTGTAGAGCTATCAGTCTACAGTTGGCTGACTCCAAAGCAGGGTGACATGGCAGAGGGGTATGGCAGGCAGGAGTAGAGTAACCAAGGAGGAGGGAGATAAGACTCTCATAGGCCACACTCTTAGTGTCCAACCAGGCATTGCCTACCAAATCACATTCAGCTATAAATCATCAGTGGAATAACACACTGATGAGTATCATGTGTCCATGATCTGATCATCTCCCCAAAGGTCCACCTATGAGTGTATGAGGTTTTGAGGAGATATCCAGATATACACCAAAATACATACCTAGTAGAAATGCTTATGTATTTATACAAAACCACATTCATAGCAGTATTTCATAATATTTCCAATCTAGGAGGGGGAATCAACAGTAGTATAAAATAAATTGAAACAATAGTAAAAATAAATGAAATACTGCTGTTTGAAATATGGGTGAGTTTCACAGACACAATCTGCATAAAAGTAACCACACAAAAATCATACATATTGTATGAATCTATTTGTATGAAGTGTGAACAACAACAACAAAATTGATGCGCAGTGTTAGGATAGTGGTTACTTTTAGAAAAGAAGGGAGTGCTAATGACTGGGAAAAGGCACAAGATAAGTTTCTGGGAAAATGCACATCATATTTCTTGATCCAAGTCATCATTGCATGGTGCTCACTTTGTGAGAATTCGTTTAGCTAAATACTCATGACATGTACACTCTTCTACTTGTATTTCTACAATTTTTTTTTTTTTTGAGACAGGGTCTCACTATGTAGTTGAGACTGCCTTGGAACTCACTATGTATTTCAGGCTGATCTTGAACTCACAGCGATCCTCCTGCCTCAGCCTCCCAAGTGCTGGGATTACAGGTATGTGCCACCATGCTTGGCATGACCAGTAGATGTGCTTATAAATAATTCAAGAGTAAAGGAAGTGATCATGTACTGGTAATTATTTTAAGTGAATAATGAATAAAGAATTTTTTACTATTCTGACTACTTTTTCTATGTTTAAAATTTTCCATAATAAAAATTAGGTTTTTCCATAAGTAATCAAGAGGGGCCGGGGATTTGGCTCAGTGGTTCCACTGTCTGCCTCACAAGCATAGGGCCTGAGTTCAATCCCCAGTACCAAAAAAAAAAAAAAAAAAAAAAAAAATAAAAAAAAGAACAAAAAAAAGGGGGGTAAAAAAAAAAAAAAAAAAAAAAAAAGTAATTAAAAGAAGAGCAAAACATGAGGTGTGATTAAAAACAAATATGGTGAATGCTCAAAGTTTTTCTGAAAATTTATTATAGTAAAAGGCACACTGCCATTAATCTCTCTCAAAGTACCACTCCTTGCTTCAAACACATTTATTCTACTATTCCTGCCACTTTCTCAAGTACTTCTGGAAGTCCTCTTTCATGAGTGCCTTTAATGGCACTGTGATGGCTGCCTCAATGTCCTGAATCAATTCAAATATTTACCTTTGCTGGTCATTTATGCCTTGTGGAAGGGCCAGAAGTTACACAATGTCAGATCTGGTGAATGAGAACACACCGCTATGTTTTTACAAGCCTGTTTTTCCACCGGATGGTACTCAGCTACAGCATTCACTGTATTTTTAAAATAGTATCTCATAAAGACATTCACAAAAGAGGACTTCCAAAACTGTTTCAGCAAGTGTGATCAAAGTAAGTGGGAATATTCGAGGATTAATGGCAATGCATCTTTTACTATAATAAACTTGAAAAAAAGTAAGCATGTACTACGTACTTTGATCGCCATCTGTACACCTATCAAACACTGGAAAGGGATAGAAAAAGGACAAAGGAGTGTACGCTAATCTTTCATGGCCAGAAATACATAAATTTGAAAACTGAAAACAGAGATATAAGTACTATCGAAGCAAATGGAAATGGCTAAAAAACTGCCTCTATGAAGGCAAACTGAAAGTAGAGTAAGGCATGAACTCTCACTATGTTTTTCTCCTTTCCTTTAAGACTTCTGAGATACGATCTCACTAAGTTGCCCAGGCAGGCCTCAAACTCCTGGCCCAACCTTTGGAGTAGCTAGGATCACAAATACATCTCACCATGCCCAAGTAGATACTTTTAATTACAGATATACTTTGCTTTAAAACTAATAAAATGCTTAATAGAAAAAAATGGCAGTTAAAGACACTTTATCATTTGTACTTTAAATAAGCAATGAGCATACAACATGGTAGGGTCTACAATATATTTTAACTTTTTTTTTCCCGGTACCAAGGATTGAACTTAGGACCTTGTGCATGCAAGATGGGTGTGGTACCACTGAGCTAAATCCCTAGCCCTACAATATATTTTAAACAGCATTACCAAGTATTCTAAATGGTATTACTAATACATTATATTATGCTATCATAAATAAGTTATATATTATCCTAAGTTTTCCTACAAAATCATTTCCTAATTTAAATTAAATTAGTAATTTAATTACTTAAATCAGAATAAAACTTAAAGCATTAAAAATAATTCCTGTATTACCATTATGATCTAAAACTCTAAGCAAGTCTTATTTCCAAACTGTTACATCTTACTGAAAAGCTGATGACAGGGTAGTGTGTAACTCAGTGACAGAGCACATGGCTAGCATGTGCAATGGCCCTGGGTTTAACCCCCACCACTCTGAAAAATAAACAAACAAAAAACCACCTAACAATATACTATAAAGTAAAACACTTACCTCCTTTTCTTCACCAACTTGGTCCAAACTCTCATGACTTGAAGGATTATAAGGAATTACTAAAAATCCAATGCCAAATATCAAAGACTAAAAAAAAAAAAAAAAAAAAAAAAAAAAAAATCATCAATTAATGATCTGACACAAAACTTTTTATTTTTTTTAAGCTTTACTTCTGAGTAAGTTTTCACTATATAATGCCTAACATATATATAGAAACATATACATACTTATATAAACCAATACTCACATATGTGTGTGTGTGTGTGTGTGTGTGTAAACATATATATAATCTTAAGAGTCAAATCCTAAAGTCTAGTGAGGTTAAAAAGAGCAAGTATGAGCCGGGCGTGGTGGCCCACACCTGTAATCCCAGCACTCGGGAGGCTGAGGCAGGAGGATCGGGACCAGCCTGGGCTACATAGTGAGTTCCAGGTCAGTCTCAACTACATAATGAAACCCTGTCTCAAAAAAAAAAAAAAAAAAAAACCCAGCAAGTACAAACCTGGTAGCTAGGTACTGGCTTTTAATAAATATTTTTCTATTTTTTTAAACATTTAACTTCCTTATAAATTAATCAAATACTTCTTTCCATAAATCCTTCTTTATATACCCTCACAGCGATAGAAGGCCTATGGCTTTCATGTCTCACTCTTTCGTACTCAAATGTTTCTGAATACCACACAGGTCAATTAAGAAATGACAAGCATGGGCTGGGGATTTAGCTCAGTGGCGCTGCACCTGCCTTGCAAGCACAAGGTCCTAAATTTAATCCCAAGTACGGGGCTGTGGGGGGGTAGTATGACAAGCATGAGACTTCTAGTCCATAAAGCTAATTAGGACAAAAAAGGGGGCTATATTCTATAGCTTCAGGCTTTTGAAGCATCTTCCATGACCAAGAGTCTGCATTTTGTCCTTCTAGAAAAACTCCTGTTTTCCCCTTCTTGATTCAACTCTGAATAGATCAGGCTCTTCTATCCCTTTTAAATGCTCCCCAAATTTCCCAGATACATGCTTAAGGTTTTGTTCTGATTTAACATTTGAATGCACACACATTGGTGGGGGGGTTCTTGGGCTGTATCTTTTACATAATTTCTACTTGATAATAAGTCTTTGAATAAAAACAGGTCACTTCAACACAATCAACGTGGCCCACAAAATCAATTTTATTTATTTATTTATTTATTTAGGTACCGGGGATCAAACTTAGGACCTTGCACTTGCAAGGCAGGTGGTGGCACCACTGTGCTAAATCCCCAGCCCTCAGTTTTATATTTATTCACTGTGAAAAAGAAACGAGGTTTGTTGCATTTCAAATGGTCTCAAAAGAGATTTATAAAGTTTTTTAAAAAATTAATTTACACAGATATCTTTTTAAAATGCCAAAGGTAGTCAGGCATGGTAGCGCATAACTGTAATCCCAGCACTCGGGAGGCTGAGGCAGGAGTATCAAGACCAGACTGGACTACACAGTGAGTTCCAGGTCAGTCTCAACTACATAGTGAGACCCCGTCCAAAAAAAAAAAAAAAAAAAAAAAGCCAAATACCACAACTAATCTTACTATCATAAAATATGCTTCCCTACTTTTAATAGGGAGAATGTTAATGTTTTTAAATTTAGGTAAAAGAAGTCTTTATTTTATTTTATGGTACTGGAATCAAACCTAAGACTTTGCATTTGCCAGATAGGCACAGCACCACTGAGCTAAATCCCTGGCCATGAAAGAAATCTTTAAATGCTACTTTGTAAAAAACAATGGTTTATGCCAGCCTCATTCTCACCTGTCTGTCCATGGTCTGAATGCATGGATGACTGATCCATTGGCATCATGGGTTCCTACAAAGATTTCCAAAGACACAGCAACTTAGTAGATTCTACTTAGATCACGATACTGCAGTACATCCAGAAACACTATTTCAGTGACACTGAATAGTTAAAAAAAATCTCTAGAACATCAGTTCTTTGCTAAAGCCCAGAGATACAATTCAGGATATTTAGAAGTCCCTTAGAATTGTATGCAATATTTTACAGGTTTCCCATTTTACTGAGTATTTTCAAAGATGTCAATGGTCCTTAAAACATAAAGGAATTCTTCCTAGAAAATGATGTAACCAAATAGCTGCCTCTCAGCAGCAACGCTAATTCATACCAAAACTGTTGGAGCCAGGGATGTGGCTCAGTGGTAGAGCACTTGCCTACCATGCACAAGACCCTGGCTTTGATTCCCAGCACTGCAAACAAAACAAAACAAGGCCCTATAATTGTTAGCAATTCACCTAAGCTTAAATTCAAGTTTAATGAATATCTGCAAGAAGAAATAAACTTAAGAGCATTAGATACAGTTACTGTCTTAAGACTGCCTTAACGACAGGCTCACAATTATGCTTGTGGATTTTTAAATGGATTCAATCCCCATCCTGACATCAGTGCAATCATCACTCTGCCCCTCTGTTTCTACATGTATGAATGTGCAAATCACTGGATCACCTAAGAATACTCAAGTTATCAACAGTAACTTCAATAAACATATCTTCTAGCTTCCTGGTTTTCCTTAAAACTGGAACTTTTTCTCCTTCACTAAATTATGAACTAGCTAAATAATCCTAATACCAAAGAGCCAACTTTGGTAATAATCTACTTTCACAAAGGTCCAAAAACAGAAAGATGTACTGACATTTTAAAAAAATGCATATCCTTTAACTTAATAACTCTACTTCTGGATCCTTCAGGAAATAAAATTTAGATACCAAGAAGTTTATTATGATTTTCTTTGTAGAAAAATTTAGGGCTTCTCAATCACAAGAAATAGGAAATTATGGTAAAGACATAACAAACTAATATGCTACAATTGATGGTGAGAGATATAGATATAAAAAGGCCAATTACATTGTTCTGTAGGAAAAATGAGTTAGAAAACAGGACGCATCTGACCTCATTTTTGTTAAAAAGTATGTAAAAACACAAATATGGGCTTTCTGGTGGGATTAACACTTTTCTACGAAAAGATTATAAGTAGGGGGAGAAGGAAGGGGAGAAAAGAGGAACCAGTAAATTAAAAAATATCTAAGACATATCATTCAATTGTAATTTGAAATCTGACTCATCATGAAAACTAAACCAAAATTAAACATTTACGGGACATGTGAAATTCTGAACACTATCTGGATGGATATTTAATATAATAAATTTGTTTTTAAAGTTGTATTTTATAAGGGTCCCTATCTTTTAGAGGTATATGCTGAAGTATATTTAGAAATAGTATTGAGGAGAGTTTAAGTAGGTTGGAGAATAGATGAAAATAAGACTGATCATGAGTTTTAAGTATTGAAAGAGGGTAGGAACATTTACCCAGCTAATTATACTGTCCTACCTATTATCATATATTTATATTTTTCCATATACAAAAATTAGATATAAACTTGACTGAAAAAGTTCTAAAAGAATATACAGCAAATGATAGTATCTTCACATGCTCTAATTTATATAGATTTTTTCCTTAATATTTTTCTTTATTCACCTATATTCTCTATAGTATGCTTTAATTACATATTTAGAACAGGAAGTGCAAATCAAAATTTAAAATGCTTTTCTGCCCAGCGAACTCACACTTTAAATACTAACATGAAAATTCTGACTCTTCTAACCTGCTTAGGATAGATGCTAGAATAATAGGAGTGATAAACTAATGATTGAGTTTAACTTGAAGAAGGAAAAAAAAAAACCCTTAAATGATTTGCCTTATATCTTCAACTTCTAGACCAGAAGATTTTATAGCATGTCAAACACAGAAGTTAACTATCTTCTACAAACAAATATCATATAGTTATTTTAAAAGTTCTGAAGTTCACAATATGTTAGGTATTCCTACCCATAATCTTTAACTGTATTTTGAGATGTAGTTTCTTATCATCTGCATATTTTAACCTTGTTTTAGTATGCTATAGTTTTTAAAAAGCATGCTATACTAAAAACAAACAAAAAGCCAACTCTGGGGCCAGAGATTTAGCTCAGTGGTGCCACCGCCTGCCTTATAAGCACAAGTTCCCAACCCCCAGTAACAAAAAAAATAGAAAGATAACTCTGTCTTACCGGTGGCAAAGAATGTCGCCCACATTCAATTGTGACAAGTTTGTGGCACTTCTTATGAACCAAGAGTTTACAGTTGATACACTTATATCCTTGGCGTCCAAGTCCCCATATTCTGTCTGTGCAGATAGCACAATGAGCACGCTGAAAAAAGTAATTCAAGAGTTTTTTTTTTTTTTTTTTTTTTTTTTTTTTTTTTTTGGTCTTTTGAGACAGGGTCTCACTAGATAGTTGAGTCTGACTTGGAACTAAATATGTAGCCCAGGCTGGTCTCGAACTCCCAGCGATCCTCCTGTCTCAACCTCCCGAGTGCTGGGATTACAGGCGTGAGCCAACACGCCCGGCTTTCAAGAGTATTTTATTAAAAAATAAAAATCACAATCATCTTCCAACAGTTTATTCATGAAACAATGAACATAACTGGCTTTCTTCTCCAACTCAGTTCCCTTCATCCTACTGTCAACTGCTAGCCCATGGGCAAAAACAAAAACCCCAACTTCCTCATACATGATTTTTCAAAAGCTGTGAAGGTCAGTAGGTAAAAAAAGGTTTGTTTTAAAGACACAGCAGCTGGGCATGCCTGTAATCCCAGCACTCAGGAGGCTGAGGCAGGAGGATTGTTTTGAGTTTGAGGCCAGCCTGAGTTACACAGTGAGTTCAAGGCCAGCCTGAGCTACACAGTGAGACCCTCTCTCTCAAAAAAATAATACATAAATAAACAGCACAGCAAAATTTATAATTATGTTGCTTTTTGTTATTGTGTTTAAGAAATATCCATCTTCATATAATTAAATTCACAGGAACGAAAACAGAAAAGATGAATGAATTAAACTTGAAAAACATACAACCTTCCATAGTGTTTAGAGATCAAACTAAAGCCCTGCTTTCTTAGGAGCAACATCTAAGGTGACTCTCATTTTTGTTTCATTTAAATTTTAGTGCTACTAAGAGTTTGACAACAATTCTTTTTATTTATTTCTATTTATATTACTGAATTTAGGACATGACATTAATTTTAGAAGTCCATAAATCTGTAGATAACAAAAGAAGTTAAAAGCATGGAGTCCTGGATACAGACTGGCTGCTTTCAAACCTCAGCTCTGCTACTTACTAGTTGTGTATCTTGAGCAAGTTATTTAACTGCCCTCCCCTTCATTTTTCTCATCTATAAATGGAATATATAGGGGTGCTGTAAAGATTAAATGAGTCAATATATGTAAGCATCTGGAAAACAGGCAGATACATAGTAAAAGCTAGCTAAGTGTTTGTTATTATTTTCTAAACAGGGAAAAGTAATTGCAATATAAAACTTGCTGAATTTCCTGGCTGCCTTAAATGATATTTAAAACTTTTTTTAAAGTTCAGTTTTCTGGCCTGGAGATTTAGCTCAATGGTTCTGCCACCTGCCTAGCAAGCACAAGGTCCTGAGTTCGATCCCTGGTACCAAAAAAAAAAAGTTCAGTGTTCTGTTTTGTTTTATGAGACAGAGTCTTGCTGTATAGTTTAGGCTGGCCTTGAACTCACTGTGTAGCCCAAGCAGACCTCAAACTCATTATCGCCCTAACTCACTTCCAAGTGCTAGGATTAGAGGTGTGTGCACCACATGCCCAAATAAACATTGAGTTTTCTTATAGCTAGGTATCTGTACAATTAATTATCCAATTTGGTACATATTTAAGAATAAAAGGGGTTGGGCATGTAACTAAGAGGTAGAGCACTTGCCTAGCAAGTGCAAGGCCCTAAGCTAGATCCTAGCCTTTAATAAAATAAAACAAAACAAAACAAAAATAAAAAATAAGCAAGCTGTTCCAGGAAAACCTGGACTGTAAGGCTTTGCTACTTATTTCTTAAAAAGGATATAAACAAGACAATAACAAAGTCAACTTTCTCTCCTAACAGAAATCAAAAAACAAACAAAAAGATATATTATCATTATTCCACAAACTACATTTACCCTGTTGAAACGTTTGGCTTGAAAAGTATGGCCATTTGCACAATAAAGCTTTCTCCAGCGGCGTGCACCTCTGCGGTAGATAGATTCTGAAGAGAGATTAAAAATTTTAAAAACAAAGGCAAAAAAAGCAAGTGTAAGTCACTTTATAATTAAGTCTGATTCTTTTCATAATAATCATTGTGAGGAAAAAAATGATGACAAAACCCCAAAATAAATAGATGTCTGTCTAACTAGTACTGCTTTTCTTTGTAAACAATTTTCCCCAAAAACATTTTTTGGGGAGGTACCAGGGATTGAACTCAGGACCTTGCGCTTATGAGGCAAGCATGGTGCCACTGAGCTAAATCATCAGAACTTCCCCAAAACTTAAGCCCACAAAAAAGCTGAAAGAATAAATATCTGCAATGTTTCCCTGGCTTTATCAAATATTAATGTTTTGTCATATTTGCTTTCCCCACTACAAAAATACACATGTATTTTTTTTTTCCCCAGAATCATTTGGAAGTAAAAATGCAGATATCAGGAAAATTTCCAAAATCAAAGCCACATGATTACAATTAACTTAACTTTCCTTTCATATATACAACAGATAATTATGTAAATTGGAACTATCTGAATTTCACCTGGCAAAAGTATAGTTTAAGGAGTTACTAGTATATATGAAATTAAAACTGTAGCCAGGCATGGTGGTGATGCACACCTGTACTCACAGGCACTGGGGAGGGTGAGGCAGTAGGATCACAAGTTCAAGGGCAGCTGGGCTACATAGTGAGTTCAAGACTAACCTGGACTACATGGTAAGACTTTGTCTCAAACAAAAGAAAAAAGAAATTAGACTGAAAAATTGAAAAAGATATCAAATAAATTAAATGTTCTATAACTGGCCCCCCCCACATTTGTCATTACATAACTTTTGTGTGTGTGTGTGTGTGTGTGTGTGGTACCAGAGAAAACTTAGGACCTTTCCCACACATTTGTCATTACATAACTTTTGTGTGTGTGTGTGTGTGTGTGTGTGGTACCAGAGATCAAACTTAGGACCTTGCAGTTGCAAGGCAGGCGCGGTGCCACTGAGCTAAATCCCTGGCCCAACATAACATTTTTTTAAAAAGACAGTACTGGGGATTAAGCCCAGGGTGTATACTGAACTATATCATCTGCCCATATTTATTTTGAGATAGCGTTTACTAAATTGCCCTAGCTGGCCTCAAATTTGCTATCTTCTTGCCTCAGCCTCCTCAGCAGCTAGGAGCTGCTAGGATTATATGGAGGTATCACCATGCCTGATGCACAACTTTTCAAAGGTATAAAGTATATAAATACTCACTATCTTCCCCTGGACAAGGCATTCCAGGACGTTCTGGTACACAAGGGAATACTAAAAATAAAACACACCATTTTTAGAACATATAAATTATAAAGAATTAAAACCAAACCCCCAAAAACCAAATCTCTCTACTGAAACAAGATAATTAACAAGATAATGGTTAGCATTATTTGTTATAGGGATCCATTTTACCAAGGACATAGAAATTTTTATGACAACAAATATATCTATAAACAATGTATTAGAAATTCAAATTACTAATTCTAGACCTTTGTTACTTATCATTGTTTTTCTGCTTTTAAAATTAACTATTTACTTAAATATTTGTACTGACAATTGTGCCACAATGAAAAATTAAAATTAAATTACAAAAATATAAAAATAATGAAACACAATATTAGAGCTTTTAAAAGATGTATATTAAATTCAGGAAAAAATTAACTCTAGAAACTATACCAAAAATCCAACTATATAAGTTTATACTAGGAGCTATAAATTTATAAACATACTAAATCACCCATGTTTATAATGACGCAGAATAAAAAGTAACAGCACACTTATGAATAACTAGTTAAGGGCTGGGGATTTAGTTCAGTGGTTCTGCCACCTGTCTCGCAAGTGCCAGGTCCTGAGTTTGATCCCCAGTACCAAAAAAACAGTAACTAGATACCAATTACAGTCTGTAATGTTCTAAAGAACAGTTAATAACAGTACAGGAAGCATTTTTTAATACTATGTACTTTTGGGGCTAGGGATTTGGCTCAGTGGTTCTGCCACCTGCCACCTGCCTTGCAAGCGCAAGGGCCCAAGTTCGATCCCCAGTACCAAAACTGAAAAAACTGAAATATAAATTAACTTCTGAAAATAGATGTTGGACATAATATCAAAGTAATAAAACATAAGACTGTTTAATACCATTGATCAATCATTTTTTAAAGAATTTGTTGTAATTTTATACTAGCAAAAGGTCATGAGAAAAATAGATGACTTCTAAAGCTCTCTTAGGACCTCAACAGAGGCAGGGGATTTAGCTCAGTGGTTCTGCTGCCTGCCTCGCAAGCACAAGGACCCGAGTTTGAGCTCTAAAAAAAAAAAAAAAAAAAAAAAAGGACCTCAACAAACTATCTTAAACTTGCTGGGAGACCACACTTTACTAACTGAGAAGGCACACACAGGTAACAAATTCCCTAAGACTATAAGAAGCAAACTGAGAAACTACTAAATAAGCATGATAATGGAAAGATAAGGCACAGAGATAAAGAAAAGAACATAATTCTTTCTTAAAACAGTCCACAATAAAAGATTATTTTAAAAATATTCATAGCCCCAGAAGAGTATGTAATGATTATTTCTTTACCATGAATTAAGAGTTCAGAATCCTTGTTTAGCTCATAAAGCCTAAAGGCTTCTTCTAACTCCAACTGAGATGATACAGTACACGGGTCTCCTAAAAAATACAAAAAGTAAAGTTCAATTATTTCAATCTCTAAGTGTGATGATTAGTAAACAAATTCCATAATACAAAATTTGGGGAAATATTTGACAAGACAGATATTTATTTAGCCTCTGAAGAAGATGACATAACTTCCATCTCTATACCAAATTTAGTACATATAGGCCATTTTATTAGTAACTTGTATATTCAAAACATAGCAAAAAATCTGTTCAGCCACATTTTAAACTGCCACTGCTCTGTGACTGATAGGTATAGCTAAGGGCAGGGTTTCTTTACATTTTTCTTTAAAAGAAGAAGTGAAAATGGTGAAGTGCCACACCGTGGTTGCTCAGAAATGGATGCAATCATTTTGCCAAAATATCCCTTCATGTGAGAGACTGCTCAAAGGTGTCCTTGAAAAAGAAAAGACTAAAGTACTCTAGATTAAAGAACAGTCCTGGTTGAGCTGCTTTTAAACATAAATGCAGAGTTGTAGGAAACATACAGAAAAAGTAAGAAACATTTTCCTTAGCCAACCAAAGAGGTGAGTCACCCCGGCATGAAGAGGTGTCTAAGGACAGTGACATTCACTGATGAACAAGTCATTGGAGCATAGCTGGGCCCCAAGCTGGCACTCACTACGTCATTCTTTTGCTCATTCCTGCGGTTCTGTGAACATTATGACACACTAGATGCCACCAACCCTGTCCAAACTCGTCATTCTCAGCAAAACTCAGTCTACCGTCTGAGAGAAAAATTCAGTTATATACTTCCCCCATCTAAAAGACAAGAGTTCTTCTTTTCTTTTCTCCAACTTGGCTCCCAAATCCCTGCTTCCTTTTATTTTCTTGGGCATTATTTCATTAGTCCTCCTCAGTTCCCATTTTCCTTCCTCTCAAAAGTCATTTCCCACTCATTCATCCAAGCAGCCACACTTTTGAAGAGTAAACTGTACAATGAAATTGGTAAGATTAGAGAAGCAAAAGAAAAAGGTAGAATTTTGACTTTTCACTTTATATTTTTCATTAGTATTTGTTTAATCATAAACTTAAAATCTTTTATAACAAACTTTGCTGATATTGAAAGTGATTATAACTCACTTTTCTGTTACATTCCATGCACTTCTCAAAAAAAAAAAGACTCCAATAAAGCTAGTGCTGCAGTCATGACAACAGCTGCTGAAATCAATGACATCTTTTCAGTCAGTCTCTATACTATCTGACATAGTTGCCTACTATTTATAAAAACTCTGTGTATGTCTAGGTTTCTAAAATATCATTCGCAGTTGCTGCAACTTTCCAGAATAGCCATGCTGCTTCCCCATGTAGCATATACTTTTCACTTTTACTTTCTCAAATAAACTTGGCTATTGTTTAAAAAGAAAAAATCACTCTCTTGGTTATTAATTTTGGAAGATTTCAAAAATATTAAATCTTGATTTCTCTTTATAGTAACCCACTTATTCTCTGCCACTACAATTCTGAACAAATCTGTATAACTCTAGATAAAAATTCCTTAACAACACTATTATTAACCTATAAGAAAACCTAATAATTTTCTTAAAAATTTTCCAGATATATTCATATGTAAAAGAATGAAGCTGCACTTTTATCTTATACCACAAAAAAAAATTAATTCAAATGGATTACAGACCTAGATGTAAAAAATAAAACTACAAGACTTAGAAAAAAACATAGGGGAAAAGCTTCATAATACTGGATTTGGCAATGATTTCTTGGATATGACACCAAAGGCACATTCAAGAAAATAAAAAGCTGATGAATTGGATAACATCAAAATTAAAGCTGTCTGGCTGGGGATTTAGCTCAGTGGTTTCGACACCTGCTTCGCAAGCGCAAGGACCTGAGTTCAATCCCCGCTACCACCCGCCTCGCCGCCAAAAGCTGTCTGTGCATTAAAGCACACCAGAAACAGTGTGAAAAAACAACGCACTGGACTGAAAGAACATATTTGTAAATCATATCTGGTAAAGTACTGATAACCAGGATATTCTTTAAAACTCTTACACCTTAATAACAAAAAAGAGCCTGATTTTTTTTTTACTTTTATTAGTACATGTTTGCAGCTCAGAGTGCATGTACATAACACATTCAATTCCCTTTTCCCCCTCCACCCTCTTAATTTTTCAAGTATCAGATTCATTTATTTATAACAGATACAGATTGAAATAGACTATTAAGAGCCTGATTTTTAAAATGAACAAAGGACATTTCTCCAAAGATACAAAAATGACCAGTAAGCACATAATCATTAGAAAAATTCAAATCACAATCACAAGTTAAAGCTGGGCATGGTGGTGCATGCCTTTAATCCCAGTACTCCAGAGGCTGAGGCAGGAGGACTGCCACGAGTTTGAAGCCAATTTGAGTATGAGTTCAAGGCTGTCCTAGACTGTTTAGCGGGACTCTGTCTCATTAAACCAAAAAAACCCAACCAACACAAGTTAACACATCACACCTACTGGAATGGATATTACTAAAAACAAAAAGAGAAAAAAAACAAAACAGAAAACAAGAAATGTTGGCAAAGATATGAATAATCTAGAACTCTTGTGCCCTGATTGTGGGACTATAAATTGGTACAATGACTGTACAAAATAGTACGGCGGTTCATAATAAACAAAACAGGATTTCTGGGTATGTACCTAAAGAACTGAAAGTAAGAATTTGAATATATATATATACAAGTCCTCCTTATTCCTGGAGCATGTGTTCCGAGACCCACAGTCAATGACTGAAACCACAGACGGTACCAAAGCCTAGATATACTTTAGTTTTCCTACACATAAAAGGATAGATTTAATGCTTTTCCCATCTTAAGCACATACTGTAACTTTAGCTGTTAGAGATAAGCAGCAAGGGCCGGGAATTTGGCTCAGTGATGCCACTGCATGCCTCGCAAGCACAAGGTCCTGAGTTCAATCCCCAGTACCAAAAAAAAGAGAGAAAGGGAGAGAGAGATAAGTAAGCAGCAAAATGTGCATGAATTTAATTTTCCTTCATAATTCCATGGATATAAAATTTATTTCTATCAAAACTCTCAGCAGCTTCAGAATGATTCTTTTCTTTCCATATTATGTTAAGAAGGAAGTTATGGCTTTTTTCTGGAGCCTTTAAAAATTATTTATTTATTTATGCTACTTGGGATAGAACTCAGGGCTTTCCCACTAAGCTACATCCGTAATCCCCACAACCTTTCAAAAGTCTTTTTGAGACAGGATCTCAATAAACTGCTAAATTGCTCAGGCTATGCTCAAACTTGGGATTCTTCTGCCTTAGTCTCCCAGGGTGCTGACATTACAGGTGTGGGCCAAAATGTCACATGAAGTTGAAAGTAAAGTGAACTAAGTAAAATATGAGCACTGAGATACTGTAATACTTGATTGATAACTGAGACAGCTGCTAAGTGACTATGAGTAGTGCAGAGGGAATATGCTAGACAAAAAAGATGATACTACTTAGAACAGCATACAATATAAAACTCATGAACTGCTTACTTCAAAAAAATTTCCATTTAGTATTTTCATATTGTGATGAATCATGGGTAACTGAAGTCATGGAAGCAAAACTGAAGATAAGAGAGGAGTACTGTACACTCATGTCCACAGCAGCATTATTCCTAACAGCCAAGAGGGGAAGCAACCAAGTCTGTCCACTGATGGAAAAAGGGCTAACCAAAATGTGGAGTGTATATACACAAGTCTTTATTTTTTAATTTTAATTTTTTTGGTACGGGGATGGAACTCAGGACCTTGTGCTTGCAAGGCAGGCGCCGACACCACTGAGCTAAATCCCAGGCCCTTACAGGTCTTTAAAAAGCAGGCAATTCTAACAAATGCAACAACACTGACAACGCCTGAGAACATATGCTATGTGAAATAAGCCAGTCACAAAAGGACACATATTATATGATTCCACATTTCCAGAAGCAAAAAGTAGAATAGTTATTGTAAGACACTGGGGAAAGAGAGGAGTGGAGAGACAGTGTTTAATGAGTATCAAGTTTTAGTTTGAAAAAGTGAAAATATTCTAGAGATGGATGGTGACAATGGTTGCAAAACAATGTAAGTGTATTTAATACCACTGAACTATATGCTTAAAAATTGTTAAAATGGTTAATTTTTTTAAGTCAATACTTTTATTTACCAATGCTTACTTTCTAGATTTGTTTATGGGGCAAATGACACTTATAAAAGGAAATTCATGATAATACTATCTATACTTGTAAATATTTGGAAATAAACTAAATGTCTCTAAGTTGTTTATCCAGGCTTTAAAGAAAATGCATCAGCTCTATATGTATGATATGGAATACCTCCATGTTACACTACTCAGTTAAAAAAATAAATAAAAGCACAGCTAGGCATGGTGGCACACACCTGAAATCCCAGCACTCTGGGAGGCTGAGGAAGGAGAGATGCAGGCTCAAACCCAGCCTGGGCAACTTGTGACTTAGTGAGATATTAATTTTAAATTAAAAAATTAAAAAAGAGTTAGGGATATAGCTCAGTGAAAAGGCCCTGAGTTCAATTCCTAGTACTATAGGTAAATAAAAATAAATACATATATACATTTTAAAAATACCCAGAGTAAGCCAGGCGTGGTGGCGCACACCTGTAATCCCAGCACTCGGGAGGCTGAGGCAGGAGGATCGTTGTGAGTTCAACACCAGCCTGGGCTACATAGTGAGTTTCAGGTCAGTCTCAACTACACAGTGAGACCCTGTCTCAAAAAACAAAATAAAACAAACAAACAAACAAAAAAAACTATAAAAATACCCTGAGTAAAGAACTACTCAATATAGTGAATTCTGAGGTAACAAAACCATATGTTAACTAGCAGACTTGTTCTGTTTTCAATGAATCTACTTTAAAAAAAAAACTATTAAAAGAAATAAGCAAATTAGAGCATTAGACTTATTTGAGATAGGGTCTAAGTTGCCCTGGCAAGACAGGACTTAAACTTAGGACTTGCCTCAGCCTTCCAAAGTATGCATTTGCAGGTATGAGCCATTGTGCTCACCCTTTTATTAAATTTTGAAAGCAAGTAATAGAATAATATCTTAAATCAGATGCTTACACAGACAACCTTCTCTTTATTACTCACCTTCCTCATCTATCCATTTCATGGTGAAAAGTTGTTCATTATCAAAAGAACACATGTCTCGAACTTCACTGCAAAGGCCCTCAAAGGAGATGGAAGGTTCAAAATGTGTTATCATGATATCTCTGAAAAAGAAAAGGGGTTTTAAGTTTTAAGTCTCTGACAATTTGATGGGTTTCAGCTCTTTTGCTAATGCATTAAGTTGTACTGTTTTGAGTAGAACTATTTCTGTAAAATTAATATATCAATATCAAATGACTTAATACTGTATTTATGACAAATCCTAACTCAATCCCCCCTCATGGACAAAGGCTACCTTAACTGTTCTAACAGATGATGGAGAGTTCCCTTTCTGCTTTACTTACTTCTTTGGGAGGCTCTCAGGCTACAGATGAACAGCTCTGTGGGTAAATTTTCTGCCTGAGTATAAATGAAATTTCTTTCAATTGCCAGTCCCAGATCTCCTCTCCCCCAGTCCTAGATCACCTCTCACTCAAAAGCTTAACCTTCATCCAAGAGATGACTCATCAGTCATGCTGTTTCATTAGCCTTGACTTCCATAGATGAATCACTCACACATCTGTTAATCATTCTGTCTGGCATGATTTCTAGAACTCTCACCTTCATTTTTACATTTTCCCAACTGGCTTTAAAGAGCTCATATTTCAAAGTAGGTAACCCAAAAAAACACACAGGAAGACATAAATGCATACTTCTTTTGTATTAGTGTTAGGCTTCACCAAGAAGCTACAGTGGGCTGGGGATTTAGCTCAGTGGTTTCGCCGCCTGCTTTGCAAGCGCCGAGGACCAGAGTTTGTGCCCAGTACCAAAAAAATAAAAAAAACAAACAAAAAGAAGTTACAGTGGTACCTTGAATTTTGAAAACAAGTAACAGAATAATACCTTGTGTGATTTTAATTCATTCCATGATTCTGGTTGCAAACTGAATTGGTTGTGAACTGAATCAAATTTTCTCATAAAGTTCAATGTAAATAAGGTTAATCCACGCTGACCCCAATTTTAGTTGTGAATTGAATCAAATATCCCCATAAGTTCAGTGTAAATAAGGTTATTCTATTTTGAACCATATGTATTTTTTAACTACAAAAATATGTAACAAAATACAGAACAGTACAGTATGGAAAAGGAGAACACTAACCTTGCTTTGAGGTGACTTCTAGCATGGAGGACAGGAAGGTGAAGGGGGATAAGGTCATTGTTTGGAGGAAGAGTCCCCCTATAAGGATACTGGGGAGATCTCCTTCAGAGGTTTCCTCTCATATCTTAGCTGCACGGTCAGTTTTGACCAAAAATAAAAAATCTGTCTAGGGCCAGGAATTTAGCTCAGTGGTTCCTGCACCTCCCTCACAAACACAAGGATCTGAATTCGATGCCCAGTACCAAAGGGGGAAAAAAACTGTCTAATGTCATTTATTGTTTTCTGTGCTGCATACACTTTCAGAAATTAGAGACCTTATTATCGTTCATTAGATTCAACACTGTTACAGCTATGTTTGGATGGTACTTCTCAAAGAAATCCTGGCACTCATTCAATTTTTCCAAAATAGATTTTATCACATTGCTAACCTCCCCGATTCCCTCTTCCTCAGTGGAAGGCTCCTCAACAAGCACCTTCTGCTCCTCATTCGGAAGTTCAGCAAGTTCTTTCATCATCAGCTTCTCCTTTATGGTCCTCAACAAGCTCTTCTATGTCTGCACCATCAACAGTCAGACCCAAGCTCTTGTCTGTGGACACAATTTTTTCCACTACCTGTGCATCAGATGTTTCAAAGTCACGTTCAGTGACACATTCTGGCTATGGTTTCCTCCAGGTTGAATTAAAGGCCTAATACGTGACATCTTACCAGGCTGTGTCAATGAAGAAACCCTAAAGGTTTCTTCCAGAACTCTTTCAAAATCAAGGATATCTCTTCAGTGACATTAAAACACTTGGTGAAGAGCACCTTTGTGTACAGCTCCTTGAAGCTGGAGATCACTTGCTGATGCATGGGCTGCAGAAGAGGTGTCATGTGGACAGGAAGTACCTTTACCTTTATGAAGTCATACTTGGTGTCCATATCATCCACCAAGGCTGGAGGGTGTGCCAGGACACTGGCCATCAGAAGAAGGCACCTTTCAGGCAGTTGGCCGTAAGAAATTTTTAATGGAGGTACAAAGGCCTCATGCAGCCATTCCATGAACAACTGTCTTGTAACCCAAGCTTTCTCATTGGCCCTCCACATGTCAGGCAATCTGGCCTTGTTCACATTCTGTTCCTTGAATGCATGAGGGGTCTGGGAGTAGTACACCAGTAGTGGCTTACTCTTCAGATCAGTACTTGTGTTCACACACAGCATAAAGGTCAATCTATCCTTCATGGGCTGTGCCCCATCAGTGCTTCTTCCTCCTGAATGCCATAGGTTCTGTTCAGTATCTTCTTCCAAAAGAGCCCTATTTCATTGCAGTTGAACATTTGTTGAGAAATGTATTATTCTGTCTACACAAATTTCATTAATTCTTTCTTGTAGGCTTTTACAGTAGCGATCCCAGAACTGGAAGCCTCACTGTCTTATCACACTATGGATGCCACTTCTCTTGCAGAATTTATCAAACCACCCTCTACTGGCTTTCAACTCATCACTTGTTGCACTTGAAGAGAGGTTTTCTTGCAGTAAATCTCTGTTCAATTTCCTAGCTTTTGCATAGATCATCGCTTCTCTAATGCTGCCAGCTATTTCTCATTTAACCAAACTAACAAAAATGTTTTCACCTCTTGCAGCACTTGTCTGTCAGTGAGGTACAAGTCTGGCTGGGACAAGTGCACTGCACATAGGCCTCTTAGCACACTAGTAAGAAGCCTAGCTTGTGCGTTGAGCCTTGTCTATGTCCAGCTATGGGCTCACCCATCTCCCCTAGTTGGAAGCCTCCATCACCCATCCAAGGACACTCTGATAACCAATCCTGTTAAGCCAAATATATTACTCCTCCTTTGCCACTCCCTCTTTCAAAACTTTATAAATTACTGGCTGAACTTATTAAAAGTAGAAGCATTCTAGAAACCTCTCCGGAGTCTGCTTGATGATTCTACACCTTACCCTCCCAGTCCGAGTTCTTGAACCTTGTTCCACAGCGGGCTTGTGTGTGAAAACAACATATGTCCTCTGTTTGGTTAACATCATTACTCCTTTTGCCACATCACCTATTCAAAATAGTTTAGACTGTTGACTCTGCCATCTTGTACTCCAAGGCCAGATCAGTCACATGAATACCATGCTCATACTTTTCTACAGCATCCTTCTTTATTTCAATGGTTATTTTCTTCAAAACCTTCTTTTTTTTGGGGGGGGGGTGTCTCAGGCTTTATAACAAAAAGGTAAAGGGTCACCAGTATGGCCAAATCTTTTCTCACTCACATCTCCAATTCCCAGATACTTTCTACCCTCATAAGTTTGAATATAGTTACAGTTGATTGGGTCAAAAACTGACCTTAGGAAACATCATTCTTCAAAGATTGTTTACAGCTGAAAAGAAATACAGAACTTAGCACCTCTTCCATAAAAAAAAGAAAAGAAACTAGGTAAGAAAAAACTGAAATATCATAGCTGCCAGGACAGTAGCTCTTAATCCTTCTATACAGATACCCTTATATCTACAGGAGGCTATTTGGACTAAAACCAAACTGAATTCATTACTCATTTCCTCTCCAGGTCTTGTTACAGCTTTTCTTTGACCTTTCAGGAGACTTGAGTGGTTCCTGTGTCTGTGACTACAGTGATGACCTGGGGACTTGGAGCAGGATCTGTGTCACTGATCTCAGGACCTGCTTCTGTGGCATGTTGGGCTCTTGCTCCTATGCCTTTCTTGGAGGGGTAAAAGACTTCTTTTGAGAGACTGACTCCTATTACTCCTGCAGTGCAGTGTGGGAGAGTGACAGGGCTTGTCCAAGTCTCCGTAGCTTCTCCTGCAATGATCAGGTGATAGGACTCTTTCCAACCTCTCATCTTCTTCCTCTTCACTAGAGTCCACATCATTCACGTCTTCTTCTAGAGCACTAACTCAAGGCTCCAGTTGTTCAGCTTCTCCTATCACATAGCGTTTTTATAGCCGGGGCAGAATAGTATCAGACTCTCTCACTGTGCATTAGTTCATCAATAAATTTGTCTACATGCATCAGTTAAAACTCTCCATTTCAGTTCTGGCTCCTGATTTTTTGATAGTCATTGTACAAAGGTTCCAAGTACTTGTAACAAATGCAGTGCCGGTCAGCCTCATGTAAAGAGAACATGTGAACATACTTGAAATCTTCATTTTTTAATAAACTCTATGATATCCTCAGGTTGAATCTGAGGCATCTTCAAGGTCCAATGCAGAAAGGGAGTTGGTTTTATGTTTCCACCATAGACGCCACCCACAAACCGTAACTCTATGGCTTTATCGACTACAAGTTCAGCCAGAAGTCCAAAGCACTCTTCTTTCCAGTACTTGGATTCATAGATTTGCATCCAAATGATCTTCACCAGATTTTGGGGGTTGGTGCCATGGAGGCTGTGCACATCCTTCACTGTATGGTTCACCATTTTAGAAATCCAGTTCTACATATTTCCATCAGATCCTTTACTTCATCACTCCCAGGTCAATAAAACACAAGGAAAAGAATGGAGAAAGGTGGAGGAAATCTCTAAATTGGCTGAGCCATCATCTTGGAAGTGGAAAGCTAGAAATTCTAGGAACTGCTGGCGTTGTCTGAAATTATGTCACGCACCTCCCAGGTGGGTGGGGCAGGCTCCAAAACCCTACCATTTTTGCTCTGCACTTTTCTCTTACTTCCGTTATTGTACTGCATATTCTGGTTACACCTTATGACCCCTCTTCATGTTCATGTCACCTTTATTACCACTCTGAGCTTTCTTTTTACCACCATGCTTGCTCTACACTTTCTTTGGAGCCATGACTGAATACTACTGTACAGTACAACATGTGCTAAACACACACACAACAAAGCTTCACAGAAAGTGTGCACAAGTCTGTTTGACACCATAATCTCAACTAGAGGAAGCTGCCACCACATGTCAGAGCAGGGAATGTGGCTGTGTTCATGTTCTTTCAGGGAAGATGGCCACGGTCG